GGTCCTGTTCAAGCCAACAAGGGAACACATGCAACATCTCTCAACCCTAAACCCTAAACCCTACACCCCTAAGGACTCTAAACCCTGAGAGCGGTGTTGTGCTAGAGGGGCTTCTCAGGTTTGGGGTTACCTGAGACCTTAAGCCCCATGTACAAACCCAAAGCCCTCAATTCTAGACTCTAAACTCGAAAACCCTCAATCTCGGGGTTTTGGCAGATGCAGTATCCCTAAACCCTAAACACGAAACACGGGATCTCGAGCTTTGAGGGCTTGGAGCATCTGGAATGGCGACGTGCCTGGTGGCATTTCTTGCATGCGTGCTTCGTCGCTCCTGTGAGGGTTGAGGGTTTAGGGTTTAGGGCTAGGGTTTAGGGGCTCCCTAAACCCTGGGGCTCTACGAGGCTATATCAGCTACAGGCTTGGGGTTTGGGGTTTAGGGTCTAGGGTTTAGGGTTCCTAAACCCTAAACCCTAAACCCTAAACCCTAAACCCTAAACCCTAAACCCTAGACTTCAGAAAAAAACTCAGGTTTCAGGGATTCATTTCAGGGTTTGGGTTTCGGGCTCTAGGCTCTAGGGTTTTCGGGTTCAGGTTTTGGACTTAAGGTTTCAGTTAGGGTTTAGGGTTTGGGGTTTAGGGTGCTGGGCCCGTAACCCTGGGCTGAGTGAGGGTCTAGAATTCATATAGGGCTTAGGGCTTAGGGTTTAGGGTTTAGGGCTTAGGGTTTAGGGTTCAGGGGTTTGAGGGTTTGGGGTTTAGGGGAAGAGAGAGCAGGGGAAGCAAAAAATGAGTTTCCCGGGATGAACCATCAAGTGTCCCAGAGTTCCTGGCCTCTAAAGCCTGAGATGTCGGCACAGTCTAAACCCTAAACCCTATAAACCCCAATCCCTAAACCCTAAACCCTAAACCCTAAACCCTAAACCCTAAACCCTGAACCCTGAATCCTAAACCCTGAATCTGCAAAATCCTTTATAAACCCTGCCGACCCCAAGTCCGGAAGCCCCAAAAACATGGCAATCCCGAAGCCTGGGCATTCTCTTCGCCATTACAGCAACAAGTAAACCCTAAACCCTAAACCCTAAACCCTAAACCCTAAACCCTACACCCTAAACCCTAAACCCTAAACCCTAAACCCTATATCCTGTCCGTATGAAGATATGCCCTGCGTATGTTCCTGATTATAGGACAGGCTGGAAACTAGAAGCACTAGACGCTGCCTCGCGCAAAGACTCTGCTTTAAACTGCCCTAAATACCCTCAAGCTCAGAACCTAACACTTATAAACCCCAATACCCAACCCCACACCCTAAACCCTAAACCCTGAACCCTAAATCATGAACCCAAAACCCAAAACTCCCTAAACCCTAAACTCCCTAAACCCTAAACCCTAAACCCTAAACCTTAAAGCCCACCTTGAGGAGTGAGAGAAGCCGCTGCGCTCAGAGTTGGGCACTTGTAGCCGATTCTTGGGCGCTGCCGACTCCTTCCTGTGTGCATCGGAAGGTTTAGGGTTTAGGGTTTAGGGTTTAGGGTTTAGGGTTTAGGGTTTAGGGGCTAGGGTTTAGGGTTTAGGGTTTAGGAGTTAGGAGTTAGGAGTTTGGAGTTTATGGTTCAGGGTTAAGGGTTTGGGGCGTTTATGGTTCAGGGTTAAGGGTTTGGGGCGTTTAAAGGGTTTGGGTTTAGGGCTGCGGGCTTCAAGGGTTTGGGTTTAAAGGTGAGGGGTTTAGGGTTGAGGGTTGAGGTTTCGGGCGTAGAGGGTTCCGTTTTGGGGAGGGCCCGGGCGGGGAGGGGGGGGGGGGGGGGGGGGGGGGGGGGGGGGGGGGGGGGGGGGGGGGGGGGGAAGGGGAACCCTAAACCCTACACCCTAAACCCTAAACCCTAAACCCAAGATAGTCCATGGACTGGGAGGGCCCGAAGACACGGAGGTCGGCGGGAACCTGTGGGCCCTTCCTGGGGGTGAAGAGGCTCCAAGCGCCATTGAGGAACTGATCGCTGGCCACTTTCAAACGGAAAGCCCCCCCTAAAACCAAAAACCCAAAGCCGTAAACCCTAAACCCTAAACCCCAAACCCTAAACCCTAAACCCTAAACCCCACGAAGGATCCCGGAACCCCTTCAACCCCTCAAACCCCTAAAACCTGGGCCTCCATTTACCTACGACTTTGTAGGATGTGGGAGTCACAGGTAAAAAAGGGGCGTTCATAGGAACCCCAAACAGGGAACCCCAAGATTAGAGTAGGAATATAGTAGGAATGTAACCCTAAACCCTAAACCCTAAACCCTAATCCTTATTATGTGCCCTTGATATTCCTACTCTGTTTCCTGAGGTTCCCTGTTTGGGGTTGCCACTACTGCTCATTGCTCAACCAACCCCCCTCCAAAAAAAAGAAGAAAAAACACTTTCCTTATAAGGGCAATATATATATATAGATGGGTTATGAAACGTTGGGGGTTCTTCAGCAAAAGTGGATTAGGATTTCTTTCAAATATGCCACGACCGAGGGTCGGCGACACACCCAAACTTTTGGATCTGCTCGTGGCAGTGGACACGTTGGATCCGGTCTCCTGCGGGTAGGTCGAGGGCTCTGGGGTTTCGGGTTTAGGGTTTAGGATTTAGGGATTAGGGTTTCGGGTTTAGGGTTTAGGATTTAGGGTTTAGGGTTTACGGTTTTTAAGGTTTAGGGCTTTAAAGGGTTTAACCCTACGACCTAAGAAGTGCACAGCGCGACAGCGATCTGATAAACTTGCAGGCCAGGGCTATCTCGGAGTAATGGTGGGAGGGGGACAAGCTCATGGCTCTGCAGAAGCACGGTTTAGGGTTTAGGGTTTAGGGTCTAGGGTCTAGGGTTTAGGGTTTAGGGTTTAGGGTTTAGGGTTTAGGGTTTAGGGTTTAGGGATGATACGATGCGGGGTTAACATGAGGCTTCGATTGAAGTTTCATTACTCAAGACAAGGCGAAAGGTTACCCTAAACCTTTAATGTCTAAACCCTAAACCCCAGATACTCAAGGCTAAAAAACTCTTAAACGCGAAGCCCTGCACCCTTGCTAATCCTTAGCCCCGAGCCCTGAGCCCTGAAGGGCCAAACCCTAAACCCTAAACCCTAAACCCTAAACCCTAAACCCCAAAACGATCCTTCGACGGAGCCCGTCGGCTTTTGACATGTGTCAGGAACCTCTCCATCGCCCCTTTCTAAGACAGCAGACAAAGACAAGCCCTGACCTTTCTTTGTTTCGCGCTAGCCCTGAAGCCTAAACCCTATTGAGGGTTCAGGGTTTAGGGTTTAGGGTTGAGGGTTCAGGGTTTAGGGTTTAGGGTTGAGGGTTCAGGGTTTAGGGTTTAGGGCTTGGGGCTTAGGGCTTTGGGCTCTCCCCAACACAACCATCTTTGAGCCGCCTGAATGGCTGCAGAGAGCAGGGTGTCGTGAGCAAGGCGAAGCCTAAGGGCCCCAAAGCCCTTTAAGGCCCAAGCCTATACTACATTGCGACAGTTAAGGGGTATAATGTAAGGAGGGACCCCTAGAAGGGGCCCTTAATCTTATTCCCCTATATAACCCCTACAAAGATATACCTTATATAGTCCCTATATGTCTCGGTAAACCCTAAACCCTAAACCCTAAAAAAGCCCCTAAGGCCCCTTCCTGATAAGGGCCCCTCCTTTAGTCCCTTAGTACATGGACCCGGGGAAACCCTAACCCTAAACCATAAACCCTAAACCCTAAACCCTAAACCCTAAACCCTAAACCCTACAGTATATACTATCATAGGTACGTGGACCCTCAGGGCAAGAGGATACGGTCTAGAGCCACTATATAGCCCCCAGCCCCAAACGTGGGTTTAGGGCTTAGGACAGTAAACCAGACCTAAACCCTAAACCCTAAACCCCAAACCCCTGCAACAAACACATGTGACCTTGATAACATAATGTGCCCTGCTTCGTTGCTGGGTATGATGTCCTTGTGCCCTCAGAAAAGCCTAGGCCCGATTAACCCTAACACCCCGGCCCCCCAAAACCTAAACCCTAAACCCTAAACCCTAAACCCTAAACCCTAAACCCTAAACCCTAAACCCCAAGAGACTCACTGCCCTCTCCAGCCTTGACCACAGCCACGCAAAGCCCGGCGTTGCGCCGAAGGTCGGAACCCATGGCCACGACCCCAAGGGTTTAGGGTTTAGGGTTTAGGGTTTAGGGTTTAGGGTTTAGGGTTTAGGGTTTAGGGTTTAGGGTTTGGGATTTGGGGTTTGGGGGATATTTTCAGGGTTTAGAGGGTTTGGAGGGTTTGTAGGGTTTTAAGGGCTTAAAGGGCTCAGGGTTTTCGGGGCTAAGGGTTTGAGATCTTCTGACTGGGCTACTCTGGTTCAGGGATAACAGAAAAAACAACACCCCAAACCACAGACCCCCAAGCGTGACCAAACCCTAAACCCTAAACCCTAAGCCCTAAACCCTAAACCCCAAACCCTAAAACCCTAAGACCTCAGCCCTAAACCCTCAAGCCTCACAGGGTCTGATCAGGAGAGGTAGTGTTTTGGAGGCAGTATGGTGGGGCTTTCGGGAGGGCTGGTTCAGGGTTTACACCTTGAGAACCCAAAACTGACTGCTTTGTTTGTTATTTCTGAAAAAAGCCTTTCAGGATACTTTGTTTTTGTAGGGTTGGGGCTTCTAAACTAGGGTTTAGGGCTTAGGGATTCTTCGTACCTGAAAGTGTGTGTGTGTGTGTGGAATCGGGATTAGGGTTTAGGCTTTATGGTTTGGTTTTAGGGTCTAAAGCCAAACAAAAACTTGACACTACCTCCCAGTCCGACGCTCCCCACCCCCCCCCCCCCCCCCAAAAACCCCCAGTCTAAACCCTAAACCCTAAACCCTGAACCCTGAACCCTAAACCCTAAACCCTAAACCCTAAACCCTAAACCCTAAACCCTAAACCCTAAACCCTAAACCCTAAACCCTAACCCTAAACCCTAAACCCTAAACCCTAAACCCCTAAGCCCGCCGAGCTCCCCTGCTGGGCGCTCGGAGTCCCCCTTCCACACCCGGCCGCCCTCGTGCAGGCGCTTCTCACCTGAAGGTATCGGGTTGTCTGAAGATCTTCCAGGATTGGACTTGGGGTTTAGGGTTTAGGGTTTAGGGTTTAGGGTTTAGGGTTTAGGGTTTAGGGTTTAGGGTTTAGGGTTTAGGGTTTAGGGTTTAGGGTTTAGAGTTTAGGGTTTTCGGGATTGGCTTGGGGGTCTGCAGAGGTTCTGGGTCGTTGGGGTCAAAGGGGTTGGGGTTTCGGGGTTCGTAGCGCTGCGGAGCTTAGGGTTTGGGGCTTGGGTGTTTTGAGGGGTTTAGGGTTCCAGGAGTGGTGTTTCAACATAGGGTTCTTGACCTCTTCTGGTGGGGTTGTTTTTTGGGGCTAGGGGCTTTATTCAGTTTGTTTCTCTTGGGGGACTTGTTTGTTTAAGGACTATGGTAAGGCTGAGGGTTCAGGGGCCAAGGGGTCCAGCATTTTGGGACTTAACCGGTTATCCACCATCTCTTCTGCAGAAGGGCTTGTTACATGTTTTGGTTTCGGCCTTGAGTGTAGGATTTAGGGCTTTCAGGGGGTCCAACAATTCAGGGTTCAGAGGGATACCCTTAGGGACAGGGTTTGAGGGTTGAAAGTGACTCTCTTTCTCACATGCGCCCCTTGGAGCTTTAAGACCACGACATGAACGGGTTTAGGGTTTAGGGTTTGGGGTCCATGTACCCTAAACCCTAAACCCTAAACCCTAAACCCTAAACCCTAAAACCTAAACCCTCAACCCTAAACCCTAAACCTTGATAGGGGTTGTAGTAGCATGTATATGACCCCAATTGTAGGGCTCAGCTCATCCCCAAGGCAGAGATTGCAGCCGCTGAAAGGGCACATTCATCTTACCTACCCTAAACCTTAAACCCCAAGCCCTAACGGGACCTCTTTCTTATTACAAAAGGACAGTTTTGCGTTTAGAACTCTTGTACAACTGACAAAAACTCTCCGCTGGCCCCGCACGACCTGCAGTTGGGCTTTTACCAAAAAGGGCAGAAAGCTGGTGACTGTGACGGCCCCTGTGCTGCAGCAACCTCGTATCTGTTCATGGTAGAATGGCAGTGGAAGCCCGAAGCCTTAAACCCTAAACCCTAAATTTTCATCAGATCCCCCCCCCCCCGCCCCCAAGGTTGAGGGTTTGGGGCTTAGGACTGGGTATGGCCCTCAAGCCCCCGCAACTTGAAATTATTCAAAAGTTAAAAACCGAGACTCCCCGAAACTCATCGAAACGTTCGCCGGACCTGAACTCTGAATAATTTCAATCCACCCTTAACCCTAAACCCTAAACCCTAAACCCTAAACCCTAAACCCTGAACCTTAAACCCGCTTGCTGGCAACTTTCTGGCTGCACCTTTGGGGTTTAGGGTCCCTTTTTTTGGGGGGTTCCTTTTTACAGGGTGCCGTACCTTTATGGGGACGCAAAAAGTGTTTAGGGATTAGGGTTTAGGGTTTAGGGTTTCCTAACTTAAAGAACTACCCCATTTAATATAAGAGGCAATTAGGAATAAGCCGTCGGTACAAAGGCATTACCCTTAACAATCGGTCCTAATTCCACCCCTCCGGCCACCTGTCTTCTCGTCGTAGAGAAGAAGGTACGTCATGCGCCGAATGAGCGGCAGCGCCTTACTCGCGAACCCTGATTCCTAAACCCCAAAACTTAAACCCTAAACCCGAAATCCCAAACCCTTAAGCTACTATGCTTAACAACCTATATTTCCCTTACAAGGAGGAATATTGTTAACGTATTCTTAACTTTTTCGGGGGAGGGGGGGGGGGTTCAAGCTAATACCCTAAGGGTCCATGTACCTCATTATCATGTACTTGGGCCCTAAAGTCCTTAAATAGGAGGTACGTTCAGGCCCAAGTATTCCCTATTTGGGTGCATGGACCCTTAGGGATAGAAGTATGATGGACTTGCTCTGAGTCATGCCGCCGGCCGGAGGCTTTGGCTGGTGTCGTGGTTCAGCGTATTGTTGAGCGCCTGTCGCGGGCTTCGGAATGGTTTAGGGTTCAAGGTTTAGGGTTTAGGGTTTAGGGTCCAGGGTTCGGGTTTTAGGGCTTAGGGTTGAGGATTTGGGGCAGAGGCTATGGGGTTTCTAGGGCGTTCGGGGTTCAGGTACTTGCTGGGTGTGGAGTAAAATTGATGACGTGGAAACCGGAATATTATGGACATCTCTTTCCTTACTTTGTTTTAAGGCTTGGGAAACCCATACCTTGCACTTGAAACCGTAGCCACAACAAATAATAAATAAGCCAAATGACATAAATAAACACCCTCATTGTGGGACAAAAACTTCAGATGCCAGCACAAGATGTGTAACCCTCTGATTGCAGGATTTCATTCGCCTCAAACAAGGGCGAGGGTCATTGGGGACCGATCTGCAAAAAGCCCTAGGAACTATCGACCCTCCAGTAGAAGGCCTGAAGTAGACCCATGAACCCTGCCTTTCCTAGACCCTAATCACGAACCCCCAAACCCAAAGGGGGGTCGCTTGCGCCTGATGGCCCCAAACCCTAAACCCTCAACCCTAAACCCTAAACCCTAAAACCCAAACCCTAAACCCTAACCCTAAACCCTAAACCTTCAAGGGTCGCTTGCGCCTGATAGTACAGCGAGTAGTCGCGTCCTTTTCGAGCATCGGTTCGAGGCCTGGGGCTTCGGGCTTTTAGGGTTTAGGGTTTAGGGTTTAGGGTTTAGGGTTTAGGCTTTAGGGTTTAGGGTTTAGGGTTTAGGCTTTAGGGTTTAGGGTTTAGGGTTTAGGGTTTAGGGTTTGGGGTTTGGGGGGGTCCCCAGCGAGCTCAATACTCCGGTAGGCCGTATCGCGTTGCAGGGCTTGATGAATTCAAGGTGTGTGTACCTTACTTCATCCTAGAGGATAGCTAAGCTTACTCTAAACCCTAAACCCTCAACCCTCAACCCTAAACCAAACAGGAAACACAGTGTCCGTACCCTTTAAAAGCCCTAAACCCTAAACCCTAAACCCTAAACCCTAAACCCTAAACCCTAAACCCTAAACCGCTTAAACGGTGAGCCAAAGCAGGGTGGCGCGGGCTCACGCTTTTGAGGCTGGCGCCCCAGGCGCTTGTGGAGGGAGTAGAGGTGCAGCCTCAGAGACGGTTTAGGGTTTAGGGTTTAGGGTTTAGGGGAGACCTTCAACCCTAAACCCTAAACTTTGGGGTATAAATAGGGGCCAGGGTTCAAGGGGCTATGTGTGGGTTCAGGGTTTAGGGTGGTTTAGGGGTTTAGGGTTTATTCAGGGTTTAGGGTGTAAGGCCATGCAGTGCTTGGGAATTTGGGGCAGGGTTGGCCCTGCAAGCCTTGAAACCCCTCCGTGATGCCAGGGTGAAGGGTTTAGGGCTTCCCGTTCTACAGGAAATCCTAAGACCCTCGCTGCTCAAACCCCAAGACCCCCAAACAATGAGCCTTACTCCCTGAACCCTGAACCCTAAACCCCTTGTAACCCAAAACTCAAAACCTCAAACCCCAAACCCTAAACTCTAAACCCCAAACCCAAAACCCCAAACCCCAAACCCTGAACCCAAAACCCTACAAGGCGAGGCCACCACTTGCCTTGGAGAAGGGACATCCGTGTAAGCCAATTTTCTGATTCTGATACCCTCACCCGCAAACAACCCGAACCTAAACCCAAAACCCAAAACCCAAAACCCAAAACCCAAAACCCCAAACCCTAAATAGGGTTTAGGGTTTGGAGGCTTAGGGCTTTGGGGACTTCAGAGGTAGTAGGGTTGAAGGAATCCAAGCCACAAGAGGCTTTCTCACAAACCCTACTACGAGTCTAGGGTTTAGGGTTTAGGGTTTAGGGTTTAGAGTTTAGGGTTTAGGGTTTAGGGGCTAAGGGTTTGGTGCATCTGAGGCAGTCGCGAAGGATCCTCTTGGTTGGAGTCGAAAATATCTGCGCGAGGCGGGTCAGCAAACTCTACTTACTCAACCCTAAAACCCTAAACCCCTAAGCCCTAAACCCCTGAGCCTGAACCCAAATCCCTACGGAAGCCCTGACCGATACAAAAGAAGTGTGAGGGGGGGGATGGGGGGGGGGGGGGGGGGGGGGGGGGGGGGGGGGGGGGGGGGGGGGGGGGGGGGGGGGGGGGGGGGGGAGGAGGGGGCTTATAAGGGCAGCGAACTCCCTGAACTTATGGGAATAATTTAACTGGGATTCTCATACTACAAGGGCTCAAAAAAACCTGAAACCCTAAACCCAAAACCCTAAGCGCAACCGGTTCGTTCAGTCCCCAGACCAGGCGCGGTTTTGGGCTTCGGGTGGGGCGGTTTCCTGCTTGAACTGACGAGTGCCACCTGTACCGGTGTAGAGTACTGCGCATGGATTCAGGTTTTAGGGTTTAGGGGACAAGGGCTTAGGGTTTAGGACCCTGGCAAAACGACACCAGAAGTTCCCACATCTCCGACCTCAAGTCCTGCTCATCGAAACGCAGCCCGGAAACCCCAACCTTCGAAGTTAATGAAAAGCTGAACCCTACAGAAACAAAAACACGGTGCCGATGCCTGTAAGAGGCCATGCGTTTAAACACATTGATTGGGTTCCAGTGGGCACGTGCGCGAGGGCGAAACCCAGGAAAACACATGCCTGTCTCTTGTAGGCGCAGCAGTTGCAGATGTCGAAAACACCGAAGACTATGGCGATATCTTCGCGAATGTGCATTTTCGCTCGAAGCCTGATGGGGTTTGGTTGTTTGTTTCTTCCGCGGGTTTTAATTTTTTGGACACATTCTTTGCTTGAAATCGCGCTCTCGCCACAGCACTTGCACGTTTTGCGAAACCACCACTTGGACCTTCAAATCCTTTCTTTTCTTAAGGCAGCTCTGGATCGTTCAGATTCAGCAGCCAAGTTTGGCTTGAGACCGTGCTCTCACCACAGCAGCGGCACGTTTTTTTTTTTTTTTTTTTTTTTTTTTTTTTTTCTTTTTTTTTCCACTTGCCGCTTCTAGAACCTACATCCTCTTTTTTCGAGTTCAAGATACGCCGAATATCTTGACAGCGCCATGTTCACACTGCTTCTGTTTTCAGGATGTATGGGTTTAGGTTCTGGTTCAGGGCTTTCAGAATTTGTGCTTGCACTGATGTTGTACAAAGAGGCAGACTAGCTCTTAAATACCTGTGATTTGGGCATGTTCGCAACAGAAGGCATGAATGCCTTGTAACAGTGACAGGGCGTCTTGCTCGAGAAGCGTCGAACATCCCAAGCATGCTATCAATAACGGCAGTTCTGTAAATTATGCCTACTTCGGGCTGTTTGGAGCCTTAGGTTACCCTAAACCCTAAACCCTAAACCCTAAACCCAAAACCTTAAACCCTAAACCCTAACCCGCCTAGAAGCTCCTTCCGCATCTCGGGAGAGATCTCGACTGCCTGATGCGCTGCCAAGCTCAAAGCAAGCGCCACACTTCTACGACTGTAGGGTTTAGGGTCTAGGGTTTCGGGTTTAGGGTTTAGGGTCACCTCCCTTTTTGAACTCAGCCCTGTAAACTAGGGCTTAAGGTTAGGGTTAGGGTTTAGGGTTTAGGGTTTAGGGTTTAGGGTTTAGGGTTTAGGGCTGAACAGCAGTAGGCCCTGACGCCTTTCGGAGCCAAAGAAGAGAAACATCAAGGATGCTTCGGGTTTAGGGTTTCACGAACGTCACAGGCCACTCTACTCCAGAAACTCATCTTTGGGCTACATTGTAAGGACGGTTTACGAGGATATGTATGAGGATGTCCGCTCCAGGAGAAGATGTAGGCTCAGAGGGCCAAACAAGGTGCCCCTATATTCAACAACCTGAACCAAAAATGCTAACCACCTAAACCTCGAACCCTTACTCCCAACCCTTAAAAACCCACAAGCCCAAGCCCAAACCCTAAACCCTAAACCGTTAGCCCAAAACCCTAAACCCTAAAACAACCCTGAACCCTAAGCCCTAAGCCCTAAACCCTAAACCAACCTTGAACCCTAAACCCGAAACCCTCACCCAACCCTGAGCATCTACCGAACACAGGCACAGCGTACGTTGCCATCCGCATCGATGCAGTTTTGCAACCAGGCCTTGGGTCTAAGGGGAGTTACATGGTCCCTTAGTGTGTGCCCTTAAACGGGGACCCCTTATCGACCTCTTACAAACCCATATATAATTACGGGCCCATACTTGAGAACCCATGAAGGGAGGTAAGGGACCATATTAAGGGCCTCTGAAACTACCCCTAAACCCTAAACCCTAGACCTAAACCTCAAACCCCAAACCCATATGGGGAGCCTTAGTGGAGGGATGGGCAATATCTCCCCTTCCTCACAGAAGCCGAAAAGGAAGATACGAAAAGCCCTGCATCCTGACCCTAAATCCACAACCCCTGCCTCCTAAACCCTACACCCTAGACTCGTGAATCCTAAGGCCCTGAACCCCAAACCTAATCCCCCACCCTAAACCCTAAAAACCCAAGCCACATAAACCCCTAAACCCTGCACCCCTTAACCCCTGAATGCAAAACCCTATACACCCTACACAATAAACCCTATAAACCCCCAAACGCCTAACCCCAAAAAACCCGAAGCCCGGCAAAACCCAAAACCCCTGCATCCCAAACCCCTGAACCCCTAAACCCCTCAACCCTAAACCCTAACCCTACCTGTGGGTTGCTTTTGATCCCGAAACTTGTGGAATTAATCCGACAATCACAAGGAACTCACGGCTTCCCACCGAACTTTAGGGTTTAGGGTTTAGGGTCTAGGGATAAACATACAGGTTTAGGGTTTAGGGTTTAGGGTTTAGGGTTTAGGGTTTAGGGTTTAGGGTTTAGGGCTTAGGGTTTAGGGTTTAGGGTTAAACCTACAGGTTCTTAGTAGGGAAGGGTTTCAGGTGTAGGGTGTAGGGTTTAGACACCCTAAACCCCCAAACCCAAAACCCTAAACTAAACCCTAAACCCTGAACCCTAATTACCTCATTCCCTGCTTTGAGCCAGTACGTAAAATAATGGCAGATTCTCCCGAATCCAAACTACAAGCGTGTAGGGTTTAGCGGGCTTTAAGGTTTACGGAGGGTCTGGGGCTGCATTGGGGTCCAGGGTTTACGGTTGAATGAGGCCTTTAGTGTGTCGGGTCTAGCTAGGCCTTAGGCTAAACCCTAAACCCGAAACCCTAAACCCAAAACCCTAAACCCTAAACCCTAAACCCTGGTTGGGGCTCTCCGTGTGCATGCTCCTACGCCACAACGTGTATCTCGGCTTCCGACTTCCAACGACGCTTTGGCCTGCGCATCGTGCCAAATGCCCATTTCAAAGGTGGGTTTAGGGTTTAGGGCTTAGGGTTTAAGGCTTCGAAAGTTGGCACTATAAGCCGTTAAACTCCAAACCCTAAACCCTAAACCCTAAACCCTAAACCCTAACCCCTAAACCCTACACCCTAAACCCTAAACCCTAAACCCTAAAACCCTAAACCCGAAACCCTAAACCTGTCCTAAAACTTAAGCCCTCAATCCAAGCCCCGTGAACCCTTTTCTATGCCGAGCCTGAGCTTTGGTCACGCGCGTTTGATGAGTGACCTGGGCGCGTAAGTTTGGTTTTCTTTCTAAGTGCAAGTTTAGGGTTTTGGGTTTGAGAGTTTAAGGGCTTTACTTTTTCTAAGCGCAAGTTTAGGGCTTAGGGTTTAGGAGTAAAGGGGTTGAAGGGGTGTATGGGGTTGAAGGGTTTAAGGGTTTAGGGTGCCTGCTGCCTCCAGCATGCTCGGGGTTGGGCTTTTGACTTCTCGTTTTGGGTCTCATTTGGGCTGTTCAGGGCTGTGAGTCGTTCGGTGGGATGGCTCAGGATTTGCGGTGCAGGTGCTTTAGGGTCCAGCGTATAGGGTTTGGGAGATTAGGGTTTAGCGTTTCAGGCAAGGCTGTAAGGCGTAGGGCGAGCTGCGAAGGGCTGAACAAATGGGATACATACTGCACCATGCCGCCAGTGGCATGAATCACGGCTTGCACAGCTACTCTCCCTAAACCTTCAATCCTACGTGGTACCAAACTCGAAACCCCGAGAATCTAGATGTAGGGCCCTCCCCCCAAAACCCTAAATTCCTGGGCTGCGGCTATGACAGCCTACGATCCCCTAAAAGGACCCCTCGTGAGTTGATTCTGGGGAATGGACAACCTATCAGCCCATCCTGGTTTAGGGGGCCTTGCTAGTAGCAATACTTGGCTGCACTTAGGAGGGTAATTAAAAAGGAAGTTTTTAGCTGCCTCATTAGGAAACCCAATAAACCCAAAAAGGCTAAGGATCTAAAGTTACAGTAAAGCACCACAATGAATAATAAGATTACAGACTCAGTTGCTGGCATCGTCGCACAAACCCGAATCTCTAAACCCTAAACCCTAAACGTGTATCGTTTTAATTGCAGTAGCCCTCCTGGCGATGCGTCCAATGAAGCCCTCATCTTGAAAACAACTTTCCAGAACTAGGTCTTGGCTGTCCTGCAGAACCGGAACAAGAATGAAAAGATACTAGAAGAGAGGACGTAGTGAGCGATAAAGGCCCTATTATAATATTATAATGTAACGAAGTGGAAGCATTAATATTATAATTGGGGTGGTCACTGGCCAGAGGTATGAAGCGTGATCCGAAACGTTTCCTGGCCCAGATGATAAGAATTCAGAGCAGGGCCATGCGTATAAGGACGCTTGCAGGTAGTGCGCCACAGCGCTTACCATGCAATTCTTTTTCTCGCCACCACGCAACCAGAAGCCAGACGTATAGAGACACTTCATGAAGGTATTGAGGGCAATAAAACCGTAAACCCCTAGACCCCTAGACCCCTAGACCCCTAGACCCCTAGACCCCTAGACCTCTAGACCCTTAAACCCTAAACCCTAAACCCTGAACCCTAAACCCTAAACCCTAAAGCCTAAACCCTAAACCCTCCGCCCCAAGATTGAGAAACTGAAGCTTGTGGAGGTTAGGGATGCATGCCCTTAGGTCCTGGGGACCTTGGGGTTGGGGTTTAGGGCTTAGGGCTTATAGGACGAAGGGCTCAGGGTTGACAGGGTTTCGGGCGTAACTGCAGGACTCAGGGTTTACAGCTTTTGGGACCCTAAACCCTAAACCCTATAGACCCTAAACCCTAAACACTAAACCTTGGACAGCTTCAAAGTACATGGAGGTGGAACTGGTCCGAGCCCGCCGCGGTGTCACCGTATATAGTCCTGCCGAGGAGGCAAGGCGACCCTAAATTGAGTTTAGGGTTTAGGGTTTAGGGTTTAGGGTTTAGGGTTTAGGGTTTAGGGTTTAGGGTTTAGGGTTTAGGGTTTAGGGTTTAGGGCAAACAAGCAAACCGAAAAGCTTCATATAATATAGTCCTGCCGAGGAGGCAAGGCGACCCTAGTTTAGGGTTTAGGGTTTAGGGTTTAGGGTTTAGGGTGTAGGGTGTAGGGTGTAGGGTGTAGGGTGTAGGGTTTAGGGTTTAGGGTTTAGGGTTTATGGCAAACAAGCAAACCGAAAAGCTTCTGAAGGAGGAACTGAAAGCTGCTGGCGGACAGCTGCAGTCCCTCTTCCTCCCCTGCACCGCCGCAGTCAGATGTGAAATCCTCAGTCCCTCCTCCCTGGCCCTTAGACCCCTAAACACCCCAAACAGCCAAAACCCTGAAATCCTTCTGAACCCTAAACCCTGAACCCTAAATACCCTAAACCCTGATTAAACCCCTACACGCCCTAACCCTACGTTGTCACCGTGGCGTGTCTGTGGTCGCCCGCGCCTTCGGAGCTTGAAGAAGTTGGAGTTCTCAAACCTTGGGAGGGGGAGCGGTTAGGATTTAGGGTTTAGGGTTTAGGGTTCGGCTTTAGGGCGTAGGGTTTAAGGTTTAGGGTTCGGCTTTAGGGCTTAGGGTTTCGAGAACCCCTCAATTGCATACTTTTAGATGACCCTAGGCTAGGTTAGGGTTTGAGGCTTAAGGGCTTAGGATTTCGTAGAGGGTGCTAGGGTGTCTTTCCCACGCCTTGGGGTTTAGGCCTCTTTAGAGTTTTGTTGGGAGGGTCAGGGCTCAGAGGCTTGAAGTCACCTACTGCCCCCTGTAATGATAACTTAGAGAGTTTGCGGGTTGGCGCGCGTTTAGGGTTTTGGGACCAAAACCCGAAACTCCGAACCCTCCCTAAAACTCTCCTTGGCATGTATTTGCTTAGGCTTTGCCCAGAAACTCCAATATCGCGAACGTACCTCAATTAGAGAAAATACCTTCACTTTAACATGGATTCTCTTGTATTCTGAGACATAATCCCACAAAAAGTACCCTGAAACCAAAACCTAATTACGTGATGTTCGAGCCTCTGGGTATGGCTCAACAAAAATCCGAGCGCGGAGCTCTGCTTGAAGACACACGGAAGAATACCTCAGACAGCAATGGGTTTAGGGTTTAGGGTTTAGGGCTGCCGAGCATTAGGCATTAGGCATTCCGTTGTAATAAACATGGGGGTATCAAAAACATATGGGTACCATATTGAGGTCCTTACGATAAGGGACTCCTACTATTTGGGGATCCGAATTGGGGGTCCCCTATCTTCGTAAACCCCCACATGTGTGTAGCGGGATCGACCCCAAATTCCGGTTCTAATCAAGTCGGCAGTAGGCCACTAACTATAGCACCCTCAGCGTTTGCAGTTGCACAGAAGACCCTGAAACCTAAACCCTAAATCCTAAACCCTAACCGGTGGCTGCACAAGGGGAGCCACCGATCTGCCGATCCGGCAAATCGAAGCCTTGCAAGCTTTAGGGGTTGGGATGTTGCCCCTTTACTAACCCTAAGGGTCCATGTACCTCATGATTATACATATACTTGGGCCCTAAAGTCCTTAAATAGGAGGTACTTTAAGGCCCAAGTATTCCCTTATTCCCTATTTAGGTACATGGACCCTTAGGGTAACAGTCCTCAAAAGGGATTCGAGAATCCCCCCCACCTAATCCCTATTAAGGGCCCTTAATAGGGATTCTAGAAAAACCCCCCAGAAAATCCCTAGTAAGGACTGTTAGTGTAAGGGAGAAAATCTCAAGGTAAGGGGTTTAGAGTGGCCAAACGCATGCGTCTTCACCTAGTGGTGAAAGCTTGCGGGCCGCAGATCCGTCATGCTTTGCAGCCCAAAACCCTAAACCCTAAACCCCAAGACCCTAGACGCTAAACCCTAAACTCTGAACCCTAAACCCTAGCCCTAAACCCTAAACCCTAAACCCTAAACCCTAAACCGACCCTCCATGAGCACCCAAAAGCAGTGAGGAGGCTTAAGCCATAAACCCCAAACAGGCTGCAGACCGAAACAGAAAAACAAATCAAAACAAAACCGAGAAGCGTAAACGCCCGAGGAAGTTCCCCTGAACCTTAAATCCCAAGCCCCACGCCCTAAACCCCAAACCCTAAGCCCTAAATCCTAAACCCCAAACACCCTGGGGAGCCAACTCCTGGTCACTGGCTGTGGCCAGGAAAACCGCCCAGGAATGGTAAAGAGAACCATCCTGCTTAGGACTGAGGGTTCAAGGTCTCGGGTTCAACGTTTAGGGTTTAGGTTTAGGGTTTAGGGTTTGGGATTGAGGGCTTGGGGATTGAGGACTTAGGGTTCAGGGTTTCGGGTTCACGGTTTAGGGTTTGGGGTGTGGGGTTCAGGGTTAAGGGCTTCGTGCTTTTGTAGAGGCTTTAGGGTTTGCTTCGGAGGGCTTTGGGGGCTTTGGGGGCTCCAGGGCTTTCAGGCTTTGGTTTTGTATTCTATACATATATGATAGTAATAGAAGTAGAAACTCTAATCGCAATACTCATAATAACGATAATGATAGCTGGGCATCCCAGCAGAACTCTCTGGCAGGTCAGATAGTGCCAGGGAAGGTGGGGGGGAGGGGGGACTCTCCAGGAGATTCGGATGGTTTAGGGCTTCAGAATTCTTGCAAGACCCTACGGGTCCTAACCCTAAACCCTAAACCCTAAACCCTAAACCCTAGACCCTAAACCATACAGGTGGCTTGTGTGCACGAGACTTGCAAGATGTTGGAGGGTTTAGGGTTTAGGGTTTAGGGTTAGGGTGTGCGTTGGATACTTTAGGTGCCGAGTCCGGGGCAGCTGTCAAGCAGAGATCGTGCTGTCGGACGACAACGATTTCCCTCTTGATGAGGCAGGCGCCAAAGATTCTGCACCGTGCTCTACTAGAGATAAACCCTAAACCTTAAACCCTAAACCCTAAATTGGAGCAGCTGCTTGCAGGACACTGGTCTCATCAGGCAAATTCGCCTGCAGTGCCAGCCGTTCCTCGGATCGGCGACTCTTATGGCCTAAGAGTTCATGCCCGAGCCGAAGAGAAGGCTTCCATTAACTGGCTGGTTCTTAGTAGGGAATGAGGGAATGAGGTACCCTATATAATCCCTTAAAGGGTATATATATATATATATATATATAGGGTACCTCATTCCCTCATTCCCTACTAAGAACCAGGGAGTTAAAGCAAACGACAAGTCTGGCGCACATGACAGAAACCTGAGTCGAGGAACAACAAAGCCCTGAACCCTGTATAGAAATCCAAGAGAAGCCCCCTTCAATGATGGCTTATTCAGGCATCTCCACGTGATGACTGCGCAGACTCTGTCTCGGAGATGTGTGAAGCTACTAACTGAGCCCGGACAAAACACCTAATTAAACCCTGTAGTTAGACCCTAAACCCAAAACTCTAAACCAAGAACCCTAAACCCCAAGCCCTATAAACCCCAAACCCTAAACCCTAAACCCCAAACCCCAAACTCTAAACCCTAAACCCCAGACCCTAAACCCCTTGACCCAAAGGCAGAAGCCTGCCTGCTGCTTAACGGTGACCCAGGCCTGACAAAGCCAGCAAGCGTGCTTGAGGTTTTAGGGCTTAGTGTTTGGAGTTTCGGGGGTCTAGGGTTATGGGGTTGAGGGGTTTAGGGTCTAGGGGTTTTGAGATTGTGGGGTTCTGGGTTGAGGGTTTTGGGCTTCCGGCTGAGGGCTTTCTATGTTGAGGGCCTGGGAGTTCGATCATTGCGCAGAGGTTGCTTGTTGGAGCTCGATGTTTCGAACTTGACATCGTCTGCGTACATATGTATATTATTAGTAGTAATCCGTGGATCTGATAAATAAAGCCCTCGAAATCTAAAGCAAATATATTTTGCCCCGAACCCTCCGGGAAGACTACTTTCCATAACGGGAGCCAAAAGCCCCAAAATGCACAAACAAACCCCCAACATTTAAAGCAAAAGATTTGGGGGCCCAAAAAAAATTGGAATTGCTGAAGGCTACAATAATGATGGAAAGACCGCCGGCCTGCGAGGACGGGAAGCACAGAGATTTTGAATTGCTTATAAGAATGATACGACGTGCTCTCGGATTTTTTGGAGTTGGAGACTGCTGCAGAAAACTGCGATTCCTTACTACTTTTCATCTAGGCTCATTGCTCAAATCATTCGCTCCTGACCTACCCCTGACGGGGCCGGAATTCAGGCCAGAATTTGGGATTAATAAACCCCCCTCAAATAAATGGCAAACCCGGCGGGCCCGCCATGACGATAAGCACAGAGAGTTTGACTTGCTTAAGGCTTACGTAAGCACGTCCTCTCCTTTTTTTGGAGTTGGAGGCTGCAGCAGAAAACTGCGATTCTTTACTACTTTTCATCTAGGATCATTGCTCAAATCATTCGCTCCGGACCTACCCCTGACGGGGCCGGAATTCAGGCCAGAATTTGGGATTAATAAACCCCCCTCAAATAATGGCAAACCCGGCGGGCCCACCATGACGATAAGCACAGAGAGTTTGACTTGCTTAAGGCTTACGTAAGCACGTCCTCTCCTTTTTTTGGAGTTGGAGGCTGCAGCAGAAAACTGCGATTCTTTACTACTTTTCATCTAGGATCATGCTCAAATCATTCGCTCCTGACCTACCCCTTACGGGGCCGGAATTCAGGCCAGAATTTAGGATTAATAAAACGCCCTCAAATAATGGCAAACCCGGCGGGCCCACCACAAGCCTTCCAAAAAGAGGAGCAGAAAAGGACACAAGAGGACAGCCCCCTTCCGCGCACCTCCCACCCCCCCCCCCCCTCCCAATCCCAGCCCAGGAAAAAAAAGCCCCTTTGCGATTTTTCACGGGGGGGGGGGGGGGCCTATTAATCAGAAGCTCGGATTATTTGATTACTACATTTTATGCATTTATGCGTATATACATACATACATACATACATACATACATACATACATACATACATATATAATATATATATATATATATAACAAGTCTCCTCTCCTTTCATGCAGTCTTCTTGCTACGCTAAGTGCAATATGACCACTAGTAATTTAGTTCCGATGCTTGCTACCAGTTGGGGCGTTTAACCAAGTAGGCAGAGGGTGTTTTGAAACCCTAAATCCTAAAACCGGAACCCTAAAACCTGAACCCTAAATCTCCTAAAGCCCGAAATGAGGCCCTAAATCCCGAAAACCGACAACCTGATTCTCCTGAAGCCCTGAAACCCTAAATGCTAATTCCGAAAGCCCGAAGCCCTTTACCGCATCAAACCCCAAACTCAAAAACCTTGAAGCTCTCTTACTAAGGACAACTTCAGGGTACCCTGAGGGTCCATGTACCTTATTATTGTGTACTTGGGCCCTAAAGTCCCCAGATAGGAGGTACTTTAAGGCCCAAGTATTCCCCATTTAGGTACATGGACCCTTAGGGGTAGTGGTACCTGAAACCAGGCTTCCGCACAGCTGGTCCCAGGTTTGCAGCTTGCGGGCTTAGGGGTCCCTACGTCCTAAACCCTAAACCCTAAACCCTAAACCCTAAACCCTAAACCCTAAACCCTAAACCCTAAACCCTAAACCCTAAACCCTAAACCCTAAACCCTAAACCCAAACCCTAAACTCCGAACTTTTCCGGGCCCCGAACGCCGGTGACACCTGCTTTCAGGCCGTCGTGGCCATTGCTCACCTGTGCTTGGAGCTTCATGGAGTACTTGAAACCGGGGACGTGAATCGGGTAGGGGTTTAGGGTTTAGGGTTTAGGGTTTAGGGTTTAGGGTTTAGGGTGTCGGGTCTAGAGTTGAGGGTTTAGGGCAGCTGCTCCTCATAGTGCCATAAGAAATCCTATGTGCAGAGCTTTGGGGCTCAACGACCATGCCATATAAGGTTCTCGGATAGTATTTCTCCAATCCGAAAAGGCTCCATCATTCACAGGGTTTAGGGTTTAGGGTTTAGTTAGGGTTTAGGGTTTAGGGTTTAGGGTTTGGGGTTTAGGGTTTAGGGTTTAGGGTTCAGGGTTTAGGGTTTAGGGTTTAGGGGTTTAGGGTCTAGGGTCTAGGGTCTAGGGTTTAGGGATTAGGGTTTAGGGTTTCGGGTCTAGGGTTTAGGCTTTCGGGTGTCGGGTCTAGGGTTTAGGGTTTAGGGCAGCTGCTCCTCATAGTGCCATAAGAAATCCTATGTTCAGAGGTTTGGGGCTCAACGACCATGCCATATACGGTTCTCGGATAGTATTTCTCCAATCCGAAAAGGCTCCATCATTCACAGGGTTTAGGGTTTAGGGTTTAGTTAGGGTTTAGGGTTTAGGGTTTAGGGTTTAGGGTTTAGGGTTTAGGGTTTAGGGTTTAGGGTTTAGGGTTTAGGGTTTAGGGTTTAGGGTTTAGGGTTTAGGGTTTAGGGTTTAGGGTTTAGGGTTTAGGGTTTAGGGTTTAGGGTTTAGGGTTTAGGGTTTAGGGTTTAGGGTTTAGGGTTTAGGGTTTAGGGTTTAGGGTTTAGGGCCTCGACCGTAAGGCTTTGGGTCGTAAGGAAATCCCAACCCAAGCACAGGGGACATGATCTCACTCCGCGATTGAAATGGGATTGAATTGATACACAAAATAGGTTGGTGGATAAACTTTGTCATATGCAAGTTCAGTTTAGAGTTCAAGGTTTGGGCTACTGGGCCTGCAGGCTCTGATGTTCGTGGCATAGGCATAGGCCCAAAGACCAGACTACATGAGTTTTAGGGTTTGGGATGTAGGGCCCCAATGCTAGACGAACTATTTTCATGGCTTTATCTTTACTATTTTTGTTCCTACTATAACAATAAATAAATCTACTTAACATTAAACTATATATAATACTTTCAGGAAAACCTCTAAATCTACAAGATATACATCTAAACAAATTCTTTTTTCTTGCATGATCCGAGGTTTTGAAAAGGGCGTTAAACTAGAGGATTGAAGTGATTAGGGATCAACTTACTTCTCCAATAGCCAGGGAGCAAAAAGCGTTAAGCTGAAGTATTCCTACAAAACCAGCAAGCCCAAAGAGTTTAAAGTTCATGTATTGACCAACCAAATGTAGGATCGTAGCCCTAAACCCTAAACCCTAAACCCTAAACTCTCAAGCTTTTGGGGCATCGCAACTGGATTTTGGCTTGAGAGCTTATGGCTTAGGATTTAGGGGGGGTGGCCGGGGGGTGATGATAGGTAGTGGGGGGTGGTGACAGTGAGGGTAACTCTAAACCCTAGACCCTAAACTCTATACATTGTACAACTTCTAAAAGCTTAGACGAGTCTTGCGGATTTCGGGAATTCGGGCCGAGTGTTTGGCATCGCCTCCTCCTGGACATCCTCCACTGTCCCGCGCTTCAGCCAGTGGTTGCGCTGAAAGCAGACGACCTCTCCAGTAGGGTTTAAGGGGGTTCAGGGTTTAGGATTTAGGGTTTAGGGTTTAAGGGCCAGTTGAGTTTGGCGGGCGCAGGGTTTGTCGGAGCGTCTGAGCTTAGGCATTTCAGCTACAGGGATACTCGAGCCATGATATCATGGGTTTAGGGCTTAGGGGTTTAGCGTTTCGTTCCCCTACTACTACGCCCCTCTATACTGCCGCCCCCCCCCCCCCCCCTTGGTTCCCCAGAAATAAGAATAATTTAGGGAAAGTTAAGACTAATTAAGGTTGTTTAAGGGGGGAAGGGGGGGTAGTAGGAAGCCCATGAGGATGGAACCTAAACCCGAAAACCTCTTGATGCACCCTAAAACCTGCAAGTACCCTGACTCGTTTTTCGCTGAAGGATACAGTTCGGCCTGCCCTAAACCCTATAAGCCCGAACCCGAAACCCTAAATGCCCCCCTCCCCCCGCCCACCCCGCCACCGCCCACCCCGCCACCCCGCCACCGCCCACCCCGCCACCACCACCCGCACCGCCACCCCGGCCACCGCACACCCCGCCCACCCCGCCACCGCCCACCCCGCCACCGCCCCCCCCCCCGCGCCCCACCCTACTGACAAAAAATGTGGCAAAGAAGTAGATTCATACGAGACACGAAAGCTGAAGTACTTGCCAAGTTCCTAGTAGCCACCTTAAGACTCAAGACCTACACCCACCACTCTATCAAGCTTTGGACCCTAGCCCAAACCCCAAACCCCAAACCCCTAACCCTAAACCTAAACTCTAACGTGAGCCGGCTTTCGGCTGAAGCCCACTTCGCGGAAAGGCCTCGTCGCCAACTTCCGGCAGTCTCACGATCGAGTAGAAGCCCGCACGGGTGGCATCCTGATCTCCCCCCTCTCTGTATAGGGTTTAAGGAGGGACCCCTACTACTTGTTTGAGAACCCTCCCGGCCCTCCCCCCAAAGAAAAGAGATACAAATCCCCCCTTATAAGGAAGACCGGTTTCAGTTTTTGGGCGTTCCCAAGCAAATAGTAGCTCTGTCTCCATCCAGATTCTGTCGTTTGTCGGCCGTGAAAAGTTGAATCTGACTCTGACTCTAGCTCTGATCTCTCTCTCTCTCTCTCTCTCTACACTATTTGCTTAAGAACCCCCCCCCCTAAAAAATGTAAAAAAAACTCTTCGTCTTAAGGGCGATACAGGGATTGCTATGCTTCATTTTGGGGGGGGGTTCTGAAGCAAGCAGTAGTTGTCTCCATACACTGCACGTCCTTGTAGTATATAGCTTTGAGTGCAAAACACAGACAAGGGCTAGCTGGGGTGGGTTGGGCTGGTTGAAGGCACAGTTGTGGTAAGATTGTTTACTCCAGGTTTAGGGTTTAAGGGTTTAAGGGCTTTGAAACGTTGCGCCGCAAGCCCTGGTAAGTAAACCTCCAGCACGGCACACTTTGACAGAACCCGAAGCTGCGAACCCCACGCTGTAAACTCCCAACAAGAGTTCATACAGCTTTGATGCATCGCTAAACCCTAAACTCTGATCACAAGAACAACCCCCGACCTCACCAACTAAATCCGAAACTCGATGGGGGGGGGGGGTCTTCGGAAAGGGGGTTTGCTTGGAGGTTCATGGGTACTTATAACGCCAGTTATAAGTCTACTTCTACCCTACTCACAGGACTTCTGGGGCTTAGAATGCAGTTAAAGTTGGGGGTATAAGTACCCATGAACCTCCAAGTAAGGCTTCGGTCTAAAGGTCTGTGGGGTTCGCCCGACATGCCAGGCCCCGCAACATGGCAGGTCATAGCCCTAAACCCTAAACCCTAAACCCTAAACCCTAAACCCTAAACCCTAGACCCCAAAACCCTAAACTGCCCCGAACTCCAGGGGCACGCTTGAGACTTTACCGGCTTACCGCACCCTAAGCCCAAAACTGTTACTTGCTTAAGAGCCCTCAAAAAACAAAAGATAATTGTCCCTATATTGCCCTTATACGGAACAACATTTGTATGTATAGCAGTATAATTAGTCGGTGGTAAGAGGTTGCGTTTGGAACTGTACACCCTGGAGAGCAATATTCATTTGAGAAAACACCTTATAGCTACATGTCAGTGGTCATCGTCTTTGAGAAACCCCGAACCCTCAACCCTAAACCCTAGAACCAAAGCCAAAGCCCTAAACCATTGAGGGGTATGGAACCCATACGGTATGGAAGCTCTCCGGGTGGCCTAAACCCTATACCCTAAACCCAAACCCTAAAACTTAAACTAAACCCAAAACCCAAAACCCTAACCCCTAACCCCTAAATCCTGAACCCCTAAACCCTAAACCCTAAACCCTAAACCCTAAACCCTGCCGCGCCTCAGCAGAGAAGGGGCCCTTGAAGGATGGATGCCCAGCAAATGGCTTCGAGTCGGTTCGACCTGTGGTGGGTTTAGAGTTTAGGGTTTAGGGTTTAGGGTTTGGGGTTTGGGGTTTTGGGTCTAGGGTTGGGGGCTTAGGGTTTGAGGTTTATAGGATTTATGGAGTTTAGGGTTTGGGGTTTAGTCGCCGGAGTAGCCCCGGACTAAAGTGGTATCCTTTGGGGTTCAATATGGGGCTTAGACGTGCACCGGCTCGGAGAACGTGCTGCTTCAGGATCTATTGGATGAGCCTGAGGCTAGAGAGCTTTCCGCTTTGTGGCTATGGCCCGGTGCCCCTAAACCCCAAACCCCAAACCCCAAACCCCAAACCCCAAACCCCAAACCCCAAACCCCAAACCCCAAACCCCAAACCCCAAACCCCAAACCCCAAACCCTAAACCCTAAACCCTTCTCAGGGGGGCTGAAGCCTCAGTTTTAAGCGGCGAAAAAGCGTGAGCCAAGTACCCGAATGATAGTCTGCTTGCAGGCCTTCTGCTAAGGGTTTAGGGTTTAGGCTTTAGGGTTTAGGCTTTAGGGGGGTTCAGGGTTTAGGGTTTAGGGTTATCAAGGTTTCGGATCAAAAGTAGCATCGGAAACGCGTCCCTGCCTGAGTGTGTCACCGAGAATGTGAGGGACGAGTTCCGTGTCTTAGAGTCTAGTGCTTGGGTTTAAGTCGTTCCGATTTTGCCTAAATGTCAGCCTCTCCCCTGAACCCCAAACCCTCAACCCTCAACCCTAACTCTAGCCCTAAACCCTAAACCCTAAACCCTAGCCCCTTTCCCCAACACACCCTCACTGAGCGCCCCCACCTAGGAGCTCCTGCTCATCCACGTCGCTAGCCTGTCGGGGGGAGGGGGGGGGGGGGGGGGGGTTTGGGGTTTGGGGTTTGGGGTTTGGGGTTTAGGGTTTTAGGGTTTAGGGTTTAGGGTTTGGGTTTAGGGTTAGGGTTTAGGGTTTTAGGTTAGGGTTTAGGGTTTAGGGTTTAGGGTTTAGGGTTTAGGGTTTAGGGTTTAGGGTTTAGGGTTTAGGGTTTAGGGTTTAGGGTTTAGGGTTTAGGGTTTAGGGTTTAGGGTTTAGGGTTTAGGGTTTAGGGTGCAGCCGTTCATCCGCACGGAGGTACTGCAACATCTCTTCAGCGTTAGCCATCGCATCTTGCGAATCCACCAAGTTGCTAAAACGATCTTGGGTCTGAATCTTCTGTTTGGCAACCGCAACCTCAGCCGGAAAATCGCTCACGAGGCACGAGGACAGAGATCAACCACAACTCGATCCAACCCTGAAACCTCAGGTTTAGGGTTTAGGGTTTAGGGTTTAGGGTTTAGGGTTTAGGGTTTAGGGTTTAGGGTTTAGGGTTTAGGGTTTAGGGTTTAGGGGCTCAGTTCTCTCCCCAAGAACTCCGAAGCCCTGAATCCAAATCGCTCGTCGGGCGCATGCATGCTCCATCCCTTGCCCTGCTGGGCCCTTGGGTTTTATAGGGTTTAGGGTTTAGGGTTTAGGGTTTAGGGTTTAGGGTTCCATACTCAGGGACCATGCAACCACCTTTGATCCACACAGGGACCGAGTGCCTAGCCCCAATGCTTTCTAAGCCCTTCGAAGCCCTCATAAACCCTTCGGAACGCTCGGAAAAACCCGGAAAAGCCCTTCACAGTCCATCAAAAATCCCTTCGAAGAAGGGTTTAGGGTTTAGGGTTTAGGGTTTGGGGTTTAGGGTTTAGGGTTTAGGCTTTAGGGTTTAGGGCTTAGGGCAAAGCATGACTAGGAGTCTTTGGGCTCTCTTCTGCCTCCTGGTCCTCGAGGAAGCTGGGCTTGGACATGAGGCTGTCCAGGGTCGCCTTCTTCAGGGTTTAGGGTTTAGGGTTTAGGGTTTGGGGTTTAGGGTTGTTTAGGGTTTAGGGTTTAGGGTTCAGGGTTCAGGGTTCAGGGTTCAGGGTTCAGGGTTCAGGGCCCAGGGAGGGCTTCCGAGGGGGTGGGGGGGTGGGGGAGGCTAGGGTTAGGGGTTAGGGGTCTGCGGTCAGGGGTCAGGGTTCAGGGGTTTAAGGGTTTGGGTGGCATAATTTGGAGGCCCAGGTCCAATTGAGTTACGAGCCCGTGGGCCCGTGTGCCCGTGGCGGGCCCCACTTTTCGCAAGTGTACTTAGTCTAGGTGTGTCGTCTTAAACCGCGTGCCCCCTCGAGATCCAGCGAGGAGAAAAAACCAACTTTTCCTTTTTGGGGACGGGGAAGAACCCTAAACCCTAAACCCTGAAGTGCAGCTTTTCTTACTTTAAGCGTCTCTTGTGAAGCCGTGTGTCCCCTCCAAAGACAAGACTCGCAAATGCAACGTTTTGAGGGAGGGCATGAGGCGGAAGAGCATCTTTTGTGAATCTGGTTCTGCACCCCATAGGCAACAGAAAACTTGTGGTTTAGGGCTTAGGGTGTAAGGTTTTTCAGGTGTAGTAGTTGTGGTTTGGGGGGTAGGTAGCAACCATCTTATAATAAGGGCACACTTCTCTTGGTTGGAGAAGAAAAAGGTTCTTGGGTTTCAAAAGGACACACTGTCTGACTTGAGAGTTAAGGGGTTTTCAGGTGCAGCAGTCGTGCTTTGGGGTTCCGGTTTAGGGTTGAGGTAGTCCAGGGACCTGCAAGAATCACCAACCTTGTGTGTCGGCTACTGCAAAGGCAGAGGAAACATTCTTCATGCTCTGTGCCTAGCCCGAACCTTTCCAGTAATTAACCCAGAGGAGCCAGCCAGATGAAAGGCACGAGCGCGCAGGGATCATGGTTGAACAGGGGGGAAAGGCCGCCCATGGGATCCGAGACCACGTATATCAAGGACTCGGAAAAGGACTCAAAAAAAAAACAGGACTCCTCAAACAAAAAAACAGGACTTGACATGTTCGCCAATTTTGATATCGTCGGTTTTTGGATCTGGCTGGAGCAGGTCGGGTTTTTCACGTCGCCCCCTTTCTGTTCCTGTAAGTCAAAAACACCTATCTACTGACACGGCTGAAACGTATTCAGGGTTAGTATGGCTGTCCACCTCCCACTTGGTGGAAATTCGCCAAAGAAGGTTCTTGATGGCTGCCACTTTGTAGGGTTCAGGGTTTAGGGTTCAGGGTTGAGGGTTTAGTAGGGTTTAGGGTTTCGGGGATGGCCCAGTCGCTGACTAGAGGCAGAAGGTTGGTGCGAGCAGAATGATTCCCTTGCACGACAATCTTTCCCGAGGTGTACACATTGACAGAGCCCCCGCGAGGCCCTTTGCAGTCTACTCCAACGGCGCGGCTGCCAGTAGAGTCGCAAAGGTTGTTGGTCTGACCCTCTTGCTGGCATGGAGGGTTTGCGGTAGGATATTGCGCCATCCGTGTCAGGACACGCAGTGTCTGACCCCACAAGCCAATACTAAGACCCAAACAACTCTAACCCTCGCCCCACCTCTCCCCACAAACAAAACCAAACTGCAGCCTAAACCTTCGAAACCTAAACGCCCAAACCTACCGCAGCCACAACACCCTAAACCCTGTGCGGAGCTGCAATTGGTATTGTAGAAAGGAGTTAGTGTTGGAAGTTGGAAGGGTTAATGAACCCGGTAATCGTATTTGGCTCAAGATGGGCTTGAACAGAAAGCCACAAGTTCAAAAAGAAGTGCCTGGGTTCTTAGGGTTTGGTAAGGGTGTGGGTTCCTTCCCCCTTTCCTTCCCCCCTGGGTTGCTCTTATCCGTGTTCTTGGTTGTTTCTTGGTTCGATCTAGGAAATATAAGTTCAGGGCGATTAGGGGAGTTGATTTCCTTCCTTGGTTGTCCCCCCGTAGGTTATGAGCCCAAATTAGGTTCCCTGCGGTTAAGTGTTCTTTCAAGGTTTTGGGATCAAGAAGCAATGCCTTCTCCGAAGCGATGGCTCCAACTTGCCTCGGATGGTGGACAAGATGGTGGAGCTGGAAATGGTGCAGCTGAGTCTCTGGGTGAAGGAGCGGTGTTGGAAGAGGTGATTCCCGACGCTGAAGAACATCTGGAAGAGGCCTTGGTTGCAGAAAGCCCCAATGTGGGTATGAATCCCAATAGGGATATGGTTAGCAATGCTGAAGCTGAAGGACGTGCTGTTTCTGTACCGCCAAAGCCTGGTGAAAAAAGGAACTGGGATGCGACTGGTGGCATAGATCGTGAAATGGAGGTGACTGTTTTACGAGTGTTACACAAACACGGGTACCAGCCGTCGTCTTCGACTTCGGGTCGAATGGTAGACCAAGAGTCTCAGACCGATCTGATTGGAGAAGTGCTACAAGCGACCAGGAGGCCGTTGAACAAGATCAAAAAGGGTCCATCTTCGAGTTCCCAAGGTGGTGGAAGCGGTCACAAACAGAAGGGTGCGGACGGCTTTGAAGCTGCACCTGCTGCTGAATACGCCATGGGGGAGGAGGAGATCCTACAGATGGAGGCTGAACGGTTGCGACAGCTGTCAGAAGAAGAGGACGAGATGCGACAGGTTTCTGAAAGGGACGGTTTTCGGAAAGACGAGCATCTGATCCAAGCGTGTGATGGCACAATGTGGGAATTGCACCTCCATGAAGATGGGAGACAATATTATTACTGCCTGGATACGCACGAAACCAAGTGGACATTGCCGGTGGTAGGTGAAAAGGTGAAGAGTGACGAGGTGGTTGGGTCTCCTTTGGGCAATGAGCTGGAAATGGAGGCGGCACTGGATTCTTCATCCTCTACTCCGAAGACTGAGTCTACGAGGGCATTCCAGGGTAGTGTAAATAGTTTAGGTGAAAAAGATTTTTCCTCTACTATCAGGGATAGCGGTCCTAGGGCTGATGGTGACGCCCCGACCTCGGGTTCTCCTGATGAGGAAGGGATTCCTGGGAACCAAGCCAACATCGCTGGAGCTCAACACCTGGATCGGGAAGAAACAGAAGCGCTTTCTGAGGGTGGGGCAGCGATGGAATTGGTGGATCCAGAAGAGAAAATGCCCAATGAGGTGATCGGGACTGTGTCGGCTGCAGAAGAGCGAGTGGTGGATGTGGTACCTGTTGTTCAGGAAGGTGGTCCTGGAGATTCGGAGGATGGAGAGAAAAAGTTGTGTGTTACGACTGAGGAGGTCTCTTCGTTTGGTGCCAAGAATTCTGCCATTCAAAGGGAAAAAGAAGCTTCTGGAATAGCTGGAGACACGGATGATCTGAAAAATGAGGCCTGGAGCGCCAATGATGCGCGGGTTGATGCGCCAGATATTACCTGGAGTGCGAAGGAAGCACGGGTTGAGGTGCATGTGGTGGTACGTTCCACGGGCGACTGCAACAATGGGGCGCAGGTCTCCGCAGCAGCTGATGATGGAGGTTCACAGGTGGACGCACTGGTGCAACCTGAAGTTAGCAGCGAGGAACGAAATGACAAGGGCTACACCGGAGCCAATGAGGCAGCTGTGGTCAATGATGGTGGAAATTCTCCTTTGGAGGCCATGGAACCAAAGGAGCCTGTGGTGGAAGAAAGCGTGCCTGCCGTGGATGATCGACTCAATTGCCCTGCAGTGGAAGAAGATTTGCCTGCTGCAGAAGGTGAGACAAAGGACTCCAATGATGGGTCCACTCCCATGAAGGGAGAAGCGTTGCCGTCTGGAAGTTCACCGGAAGTCGACACCGAGCGAACTACAGCAGATGAGGCAAAGCCGTTGGCGGAGAAAAAGGGAGGTCCTGAAATCCAGGAGCACAAAAAAGATGAGCTTGTGGGACTCGTGGAGCAGGACGAGCAGTGTGACCCAAAGGTGAAGACAAAGGATGCGCCAGGAGCCGATGATACAGAGATGGTTTCTGAAGAGCGTGTAAAGAAAGTGCCCCGAGCGGGAGCCTTGGAGTCACCTGGGCCACATTGCTATCAAGAGGGAGATGAGATCATGGGTCTAGTGCGCTGCATCAATGGGTATGGAGCCTTTTTGGACCATGGGGATATGAATGTATTGATTCCTGCAGAAGGGAACAATGCATATCAGTTCAAGTTTGGTGATACTGTCAATGGAACAGTGAAACGAGTGGAAGATGATGGTACCATAATCTTGGACACCTTTCTGGTTTTGGAAGAGGGCGCGGAGGACTCTTCTTCGACGCTGCGGAAGTGGAAACCCAGCGGCTGGAGTACGTGGTGGACGGATTCATGGTATGCTGGTCAATGGTACCAAGATTCCAACGGTCAATGGGACTGGAAACAGGAGGAAGAGCAATCCGATGAAGAGCTTGTGGTACAGGAGTTGTCTTCTGAAGAACGAAAAGAAAGGCAACTTTATGGAGAAAAGATCTACAAAGCTCTTCTGGAGAATGGAAATGAAGAGGAAGCCTATGTTGGCAAAATTACTGGGATGCTGTTAGGTCGGCCGATGGAAGATTTACAGGAGTGTGTTGCGGATCAGGCATTCCTCAATGCGGAAGCTCGGCGCGCGTATGGCATCTTGCAAAATGATGGTTGGAAGCCTGATGGTACAGAAAGCACAGGCTTGGGGAAGTTAACCACTTTTTCCCGAAAACAGTACCACAACGCGCTTTTCGAACTGGCATGCAGAAAAAGGAGATTTTCTCGACCAGTTGTGGGTGAAGCGGTGGCAACGGTGCTGAATCAAGGGGAAGATGAGTTTTGGAACGCGCTTTGGTTGGACACCAAGCTATTTTTGCAGGAGCTTGATGGTGCAGTGCAATCCATGAGCAAAAGGGAGAACAAGCCAATGGAAGCCTACATGGATCCTGACCAGTACAAAAAGGCTTATATGACACCAAAGACGGTGTTGTCACCTGGTTACAGCAAGCTGTGCAGGTTCTTCAATAAGGGAAGGTGTCGCAATGGCGATGGGTGTCCCTATGAGCATCGTCGGTA